GCAGAAGTTGAGAATAAATATACTTGCGATAAACAACTTCTGTTTCTGATTCATTCAGTTACAAATATATATTGAGTTTCTCTCATTCACTAAGAACTTCTTATGAAGCAGTAATGGAAGGTATGAGTCCTCTCTTCGAGATTTCAGTTTGTAAATCCTTGAATTCAAGTGCACCTCTAATCGACTTCATTCTATTCTCTTGTAAACATGATTATAGGTTACAGTTATATTACACATTGATATAAAATGGGTACAAGTGTATTTTCTAATAAAAATAAATAATTTCCAATAATAAATGATTACCAGTAAATAGTAAATGAAGAGATTGTATCTATATTGGTAGTATTTTTTTTTTAGGAGTTATCAGATTTTCAAACCGTAGAACAATTTTTTTCTCCTGGCAAGGTTAGGGCAAATTTTGTATTGTCAAATCAAAAATTGCACAGGACAAAGTTAATAGGCAAGAAAAATNAAAAAAAAAAAAAAAAAAAAAAAAAAAAATTTGCTGGCAAAACAGATTCAACCTTTTTTAATGATGGGAAATACACAAAAGGAAAACTTAATAATGTACTACCAGACTCACTGGCTTAATACACACTTCCCCGTACTTATTTCTTTTTCAAATCCTTCTTCAAAGAAGTGGGAATGTGCTTAAAAGAAACCAAGCAATCTCTAATAAAAGAGGAAGATTAAGAAATTACTTGGGGATTTGGCTAAGCCTAAAGGGTCTCTAAATATCAAAATACACTGCAATGTCATTTCTGTTTTTGATCAAATGGTTATCTAGAAAAGTCCATAAAAACTAAGCAGTTTTGTCCTTTCCCAAACTCGTAAGTATCCTTACTACACAGACAGGACATTGTTTTTTCCTTGAAGCTGAGTTACCCAATTTTGTGTTTTTAAAAATAAAGAGGAAGTAATTCTGAAATAAGCTTAAAATGTCTAGTTCTATGTTTGTGGCTGTTGGTGATTGGATGGTTGGTTGTTTGTTTTTTTGGTTACATATGTACATGTTTTTGGTCCCCTGAAGCAGTGTTTTAAAACAACAGAAAAATACTTACTCAGTAGTGTCCAGTTTAAATTTGAAGGAAGGTTTATTCATAAACTGATTTTTTTTTTCCGGTTGAGTTAGTCATTGGCCAACAATAGCTTAGGACTCAAGTTACAGTTTAGTTGCAAAAGTATCATTTTGAAAGTATGGTCAAAACTATCTCTGAAAGCTATATTTCATCCCTTGACTGAAAAATGTGAGTACCTGGGAACTTCCCCAAATTTTCAGAAATGATCAGTCAATGAGATGTGCTCTGACACACTTAAATACAACATAAACGGTGAAACAAATACCTGTATCAGCTTAATTAAACTTTCATTTTCACTTTGCTGGCTTTTAGCAACTGAAAACCACTGACATCTAGAGATACATCATCAGAAGCTGAGAATAAATATACTTGCGATAAACAACTTCTGTTTCTGATTCATTCAATTACAAATATGTATTGAGTTTCTCTCATTACTAAGAACTTCTTATGAAGCAGTAGTGGAAGGTATGACTCCTCTCTTTGAGATTTCAGTTTGTAAATCCTTGAATTCAAGTGCACCTCTAATCGACTTCATTCTATTCTCTTGTAAACATGATTATAGGTTACAGTTATATTACACATTGATATAAAATGGGTACAAGTGTATTTTCTAATAAAAATAAATAATTTCCAATAATAAATGATTACCAGTAAATAGTAAATGAAGAGATTGTATCTATATTGGTAGTATTTTTTTTTTAGGAGTTATCAGATTTTCAAACCGTAGAACAATTTTTTTCTCCTGGCAAGGTTAGGGCAAATTTTGTATTGTCAAATCAAAAATTGCACAGGACAAAGTTAATAGGCAAGAAAAATTCTATTTAAGGCTATTACATAGGGAAGAGAGACCAGGCAAGTAAACTTTAAAGAAGAGCCCTGATGTTCGTCCAATTCACATGCATCATTAAGATGGTTGAAACTGACTGATTATCTGGGCCAGCACCTATTCAGTTCATATGAAAATATGACTTTACTGTTAATATGAAAGAAAAGTCCTCTAACATATGCATAGAAATAGTTCATATATTACACATGGTATGTATCTGAACCAAATGTACTTACAAACTTAGACTAGATCTCAAAAAGTAAACTGTGGGAAAGTAATGACCCAGTTCTAAATCCACACTGAAACTCCTCAGTAAGGATCAGGTGTTTGTAAAAGTCAGTTCCTTAGCATTTGGGTTCTATGGGTCCCAGATCTTTGATTTATTGAATTAGCAGCTGACATAAATGTGGGAATTACTGAAAAGCCATAGTCTAATATTTGAGAGAAGACACCATAATGGCTGTGGATGTGTCTCTGACACTAGTAGGCTTTTTAAACTTGGACAAATTCGGGCTTTAGTTTCGTCAGATAGCATAAAGCATTGGTTCTCAAACTTTAGAATATGAGAATCACCTGGAAGGCTTGTTAACACACAGAGAGCTGAGCTCTACCCTCAGATTTTCTGATTCTGAGGTGAAGTGGGAAATTTGCATTTCTACCTTCCAAGAAGCTGCTGATGCTACTAGTCAAGGGACCACATTTGGAGAGCAGAACAAGGGTTGGAAGAATGGCGGTAGTAAATTACTAAATCCTTAATACTTTACAGTAAAAGAGAAGATAGTCAGCATCAAACATGCACAATCAGCTGCAATCACCTTTTTAATCAATGTTTCACTTGAATTAGAAGTGAGATAAACATTATTTTTTTTTCTTTATAAAGTTTTCAACCAAGATTTTTGATCATGTAAATGTTTTATGGTACTTACGTCATAGCTTGATAAATAGATTCAATCCCATAACGCATGGCAAATTCATCAACTATTTCTTGGGGAGCATCATCAAAAAAAACCTTCCAGGCTTCATCTCCTTTGACCTCTGGAATTTTTACTCCACCATTAGATTTCACTTCAGTCAAGTAGTGGAACAGATTCTAAAAGCAAGCAGTTTTTAATCGTTCAGTGATTCCTCAGAATTACTTAACAATAACTTTCACTATAATGCACTAGCATTATCATCATTCTAATATTTTATCAACATCTACAGGCAAAAGGAATATCTTGGATTTTTATTTTAACTAACTTCATCTTTTATGTAAAATCTGCTTTGACTTTGGCCTGGGTCTATACAGAATCAATGATTCAAATGCTTTGTAGATACCAAACCATTTTCAGAAGGAAGTAAAAGTTTTTGCATGTAAACATTTTTACATGATGGAACAAATTTTGCCTCCTTGGACTTTGAGTGAATTACAGCACCCTGGATGAACAATGTGATTTTGGCTATGTTAATACAGAATTTAGTTACATAAATGATACTAAACGACTGTGGTGTGTTAATACAGAATTTAGTTATGTAAATGATACTAAAGGACTGTGGTAGTGAAACGGTAGGAGTCAGGGCAATAAATTGAGGTTGAAAATGAATGTTTGAGAATTTTGTAATTAAATAAAATCACCACTCTCAATTCCTTTTTGCTTCTAACAAGCTTGGGAACTGCTAGACGTATGCAGCCTGGGTCAACCAAAGACACCTGTCTTAGATTTTAGTTCTTCACGTTCTTGGAGCTGCAGAAAAGACTCTGTAAAGTGAATCTTAATGCTGTTCCTCTGATCCTGAATCTTCTCTGTAACTGCTAGACGTATGCAGCCTGGGTCAACCAAAGACACCTGTCTTAGATTTTAGTTCTTCATGTTCTTGGAGCTGCAGAAAAGACTCTGTAAAGTGAATCTTAATGCTGTTCCTCTGATCCTGAATCTTCTCTGTCCATACTTTAAAGTCAGAGTTCCCCATCATACCAGTTTAAGGATTTCTATTTATTATTCTGAAAACTGAACCACCTTTCTTGAAGGACGGAATGATATCACTGACCAGAAGGCAGTCACGAAATTAAGCCTGTCCCTCATTACTGTGTAATATGTAAATGACTTAAATACTTTCTCATCTCTTTTTTAGTAAAATAGGGCACAAATATTTACATGCATAAATTTTCACCTACGTATTTAGAACAGATAATATGCAAGAAAGCATAGCTGTCTTTGAGATGTCTTTTTCTTTCTTAGGAAGGTACTTTCACTCACCTCTTTGCACATGGGGAAAGCTACATTCCTTAGCTTCACCTCTAATTTTTTGGTGTATGGGACAAGTATCATTTGCATCAGAGAAAGTCTCCAATGACACATCTAACCTCTCGGATGCAAAGCATACGATAGAGGCCCAAGATTATTTGTCTTGTATCTATACTGAGGCACAAAAGGGAACTGGTGAGCTTGCCGTTCGGATCAATATTGGATGGTCTCCACCTCCTTCCAAGCCAACCAGGCCTACCTTTTGGGTGGGTGTATTCTCCACTATCCATTGGTGGGTAATCACATTCTGATTCCCTCCATACCCATATATGTTTGTGGAAAGAATAGTTAAAATGGAGGAGGCGTCAATATGTCTGAAGCCCTTTATTGTAACTCAGAAAAAGAAAGAATCACTGCTTATCCCATAGTTTCCCAAAAGCCATTGATATAGCATCAGCATTTTAATGTTTCTAGTTATAAATAATGTTCCTAATTAAATCTTCAATAAAACCTGAACGCTAGCTCAGTTTTCAAAAACAATAATGCTTTGGATTTTTCCAGCATGACTAAAATACTGTACTTTCAAATTCTTCCAAAATATTTGTCATGACTCGCTTCTTTAATGAATACATTTGAACACACTTCTTCTTCTTTGGAAGAATGGTAATTTAATGGTAATTTAATTTTTAATTTAATTTAATTGTCATCTTATTGCCTATTAATACCTGCCTCATTGGCTTGTTGTAAACTCTCATTAAAGGACAGTTCTTCAGGGGGTAATACACAGGGTTTATGGTATCCTACCACATCACCTGCTATCGTGTAAAGTCAGAACTTCAGAAACAACTCCACAAAACTAATTCAATGAATATTTTCAACTAGAAGAATTTGTTTTCTGAGCCATAATCAAAACCATTTTCTCCTAGGGTTTTATTATTAATAAAATTCAATTGATTTACCTCATGTAAACATGTATATTGTATATGATACGGAGCAACCTTCTCCTCTCCCTTTATTTCCACATTGATTTTCAATCGAATGGCTCCAGATACAGCTGACTTATCTGTCCGTTTCTCTGATACAAAAAAATAGTTGGTCAGTCATTTGCAACAGTATTACAGTTTCTCAAAAGCTTAAAGAAAGGCTGAAGTGGTTCAAAGCCATTTTTCTAGGTCAGATTTCATTAAGTAATCATGATTCCCCTAAATACAACTTAAAACAGTTGCCTGTTTTGTCATTGTGATTGTCAGACTGCCTTATAGACACTTCAAATAAAAAACTTACCAGAAGGACCCCACCATCTGATATAAATTTCTGCATACTTGATAAATTTATACAATGACATTAAACAAGTATTTGGCAATTAAAAGCAAGATAACTAAAGTATAATCTTAACCAGGAAAGTACTTTATCTAAAAGCTTCCACCGTTCAGTTTCTTCTCTTGCTGGGCCGTAAAAGATGAGCCAAAGTTCTAATTAACAAAAAAATCTGTTAATAATTTTCATTGTCAGTTAGCCTACCACCTGTGTTTACTTATAAATATTGGATTGAATGTTGATTTGAATGGAATCAGTGTCGTCAATTCAGTCAAATAATGTGCGTGAGTGTGTGTCCAGTTTGAACTGATCAGTAGTTTTGAGAGAAATAAAGGCAGAGTTACACAGTTCCTAGCATGTGCATGTAGGTGAGGCACCTATGCTTGACTCCTCTTTCAGAGAAGAAATATAAAGAGGTCAGCTGATCCATTTCACACATGAATAATAGGATTTAGTAAAGTGACATAGTCAGTGCTGGAGACTTATTTAATTGTCCTCTTACACATAACTGTTTTTTACCCATAAAAGATACAGTTGTATATTCCTCTTGTGAAATGCCTGCTGACTTCTTGCAAAGATTCTGCCCTTAGGAATACCAAGAGTTTGAAAGTTTTTACTACTGGCTAAGATAGCTGATTCTTGACAAATAAAGTTCTTTGCTAGAGCCCAGAGAAATTCAAGTCCCGGGATCCTGCTGTCACACACCTCTTTTCAGAGCTGTAGAAGAGGTTTTGACTAGCATTTTAACTATCATTACTACTGGCTAAGATAGCTGATTCTTGACAAATAAAGTTCTTTGCTAGAGCCCAGAGAAATGCAAGTCCCGGGATCCTGCTGTCACACACCTCTTTTCAGAGCTGTAGAAGAGGTTTTGACTAGCATTTTAACTATCACAGTCCCGAGGGATCCATGGGAAGCAGGCTCTGCTTGGACACCCAAGGCTCTTGGCCATGACTTTCTTTGCGTGGTGGAACAAACTCTAAGTGGTGAGGAAGGAGGAAAGTTGTACAAAGAATGAAAATATGGTATTTGTGTGAATTGAACCTACCGAGGGATATTACACAAAGCTAAACAAACTAAAACCTGCTTGTTGCTCTCTTTCTCTCTCTCAAAGGTTTAAACATCAGCAATGAGGGCACAAAAGTACCAACTAAGGGTGAGCTGGCAAAGGCTTATAGTAACATGTTACATCATGTTTCCCTCTCATAGGCTGAAGGACTTTCAGCACGAGAGCTGGCTGGATAGCTGATTTTACTAACAACACATTTAAATTCCTTGGCAAACTGAATGTACCCATATATGTTTCATCAAAAGAACAAATTTGATGAATTTCTGCTCTGAATTATAACTTGACTGCTTCAACTCAAGGACATGTTAACTTATTACAGAAAAGCAGTTCATTTATAGGTAATCTCCTTATTAAAACATAGCTTGTGAATATTTCAGTTGATGGGCCTGAAGTTCACCTTCACCTAACATCTCTGTTCTCATATGTAAAGTTATTTAATAATTTAAACAAGATGTGGGAGGGTGCTCATTATAACTGAGGTAAAAATTCCACTCCAGTAATGTAGAAGTACAATTTTCTTTATGAAAGATTTCTTAAAATAAAAATTTTTATAACCAGTTCTTAGTCTAGCTTGAATTATTTGTGTCCTAATAAGTTAAATATCTCTTTTAAAAATTATTATATAATTTATATTTTTACTAATTTCTTGTGACCTTCTCCCTTTACTTTGTCAACTACTACATTACTTGAAGTATGTAGGTTGTAAAGAAGGCAAAAGCTCTCTTTAACTTTCTAAAATATATTGGTATCCTAAGTGGTAACTCTTTGTAACCTGGGGATCATGTCAACTCTTCTTTGATTCATGACCAGTCAGCCCTCAATAGTTTAATTAAAACATTTAGAGGATATGATTAAGAAATCTTTGGAACATGTTTTTTACAGAACTGAGATGACCAATATATTTTTACTATTGGTAAATCACCACTGAAGATTCCAGGTTATTATTCGATTCTAGTAAAAGTCTAATTAAAACTTGTCTTTAGGGCCGGCCCGGTGGCGCACTGGATGGTGCGCCGCTTGGGAGGCGCGGCGGCGCTCCCGCCCGAGGGTTCGGATCCCACATACAGACCGGTTCCCGCTCACTGGCTGAGCGAGGCGCGGGAGCAACACCGAGGGTTGAAATCCCGTTGCC